CCCCCCCCCCCCCCCCCCCCCCGTGTCATAGGCAACTTTAGAGACTATACTAGCACCCCTTAAGTGGCTAGGTAATTTATATTTCTGTAGATCACTGCTAGCTGACCTTTTTCAACCCTTCTCAGGTCCCTTGCATCTATTAGATCCCTTGTTTGAACCCCTTACATTCCTTCCCTTAGATTTCTTGATCTCCCTAAATCACTTCACCTACACTCTACGATTCCATATATTTCTTATAACCGTCAATGAAGGGGTTAAGAGGGAGGAAATGAATTATTTCGTTTTGAGTCGTTATAGAGCTCACGTCGGAGCAATCTGCGTTTGAGCCTGGTCAGAGCTCAGGTCAAAGAAACCACAATACAAATTAACGTCGATCGGGTCCAAATTGGAAGACCTGAAAATAAACGAATTTGAAAAACTACGCGAATTCTCAGTGCGAAAGTAGTTGAATTAAAGTTCGGGATGTATTGTAAAATAATTCTACAAGAAAAAACGCGGACACAGTTTTCTGGGTGGGTAAATTAGTCGGATGTTCTGTAACGTAGTTCAGAAGAAATTATCGTTAAAAATTCCATGTCTTAAACTGTCCTTACGTATACGTGCAAATTTGTGTTTAGAACTATCGAAAAATTATGAAAGTACAAGCGCACTTTTCCGGCGTATCCGGTTTCAAAATAAAGTGACTCACGGTCCATTCTTTTCTAGATGTCAAAAATGCTTTATCGAACCCGCTGCAATGCCGATGCAACCTCAGCGCGGAGATTCAAAGCGAACCTTCGAAGCGTTCACCTCCTCATCGTCCGATAGTCCTGCAAAGCGACGGGGATACATCCTCTAGTACCGTCAGCAAAGTAACAATTGACAAAGAAACGCAAGTGAGATCGCTTCCAAAGTCATACAAACACAAGAAGTGCTCTAAGAGGCACGATAAACGCAACAGGCCCAAGCAGACGAAAGCCAAGGTCTGTCCATCCCCCTCAAACGAGGAAAAGCAAATAAGGTCCATCAACTTGAACGACTCGAAGGGGAGTTTCGCCCCGGACGGCGCGGGTTGCACCTGCCCGGTTAAGAGCGAAAGGCAGATCGTACCGTGGACCCCCGAGAGGAAGATGATCTCATATCTGGCCGAGAGTGACCGTCGCATTCCGGCGGCACGAATCATCAACCGGGTGACTAACACTCAGACGGGGAATAAAAGACAGAGGGTTATCAGTCGAATTAAAATTTCTGGTTTATCTTTTAAGTGAGGTACAATTAGTAAAATTATTAGCCTTTCCCTTTGTTGTATTCGTTGCATGTGTCGATGTGGCTCCTGGAAACTGTCGATGAGATACGGCGATATTTTGGAGACATACCTGATGTATTCGGGTAGCTGCGGGGCTAGATAGATGTCGTTGTGGCCGTAGTGGTCGTTCTTCGGAAACAGATGGAACGTGATGTTTCCTTGCACTTCGTTGACTCGCTTCTTGTTCCCGATTCGTACGAGCTGAAATGAAACTGTAAAAGGAGTGGATCGCTGGGTGGTCGGCGTTTCTCAGACCTTCTCGCTTTGAGTGTACGGGATAAGGTGGTTGTCTTCAGCGTGCACAATCATAATGGGACAGTCAACCGATAGAATGTATTCGTCGGTCTTGAACAAAAACTCGTTCTCCCTCAGGGAGTCCAGAAACGTCGGTTTGAACCAGGGCGTCCATGAAAATATCTAAAATGTCAAGAGTCTAATTGTGCTTTATAATTCATTTTGCGCCTGTGAGAATTTTTGTCTAAAATTATTTCGTTTCAAAAATATTTAGGAATTATTAAAACTGAGAGGGTCCACCCTGTATATATAATCGACGGTGATGCACACATTTTTGAGAGCTGGCAACCGAGATCGACAAAATTTATTGCTGGGTGCATTTTAAATTCGTTACGAGTTAACTAATATAAGTGGCGAATTTAAGAAAAAAAAAAGAACTGCTTCGTATACTAGCCGGAAACATTGCGAATCGTTATCGTATTAATAAGTGAGCGAACATATTCATTTCTGTGCATTTCGCGCTTAAATAAATTGTTACCACGAAAGCGTTGGGGTACAAGGTGCGAAACATTTCGTTGCGCAATATTTGGAGTGGCAAAAGCCAGTTTATTAATCAAAGTTGTGCACCTAATTTGTCTATACGAGGTACTAATAACATAAATAAAAAGTTAAAGACAATTAATTCGTCAAACTTTAAGATGTAGGGGAAAGTTTGAACATTCCATACTGCGGAAGGGGATTATAGGTGTAATTGTACGGACATGAACATTGAATCCTTCCCTACAACATTCATAATATCGTTTTATATTGGGGGGGGGGGTACTCCCCAGACCCCCATATGCTATGTCCTCCCCCAAAACCGGGGTATAAGAACATAATAACAATTGTATAGGAATGAACAATGAATACTTCCCTACAACATTCATAATATCGTCAGGAAACGTATTGCAGCAATGCGAGCGCGGTTGCCGCGATCTCTTCGGACCTACAAATCTCGCTCCATTCTGTAAAAAGCGAGCACGTGACAGAAATGCGTCTGTCCTATTGGTGGAAAGGGGAACACGAGTCGTTTTCAGAAAATCGGGTTTGTTTCCGTATTTCTTGCGGGCGAGATTGAAATAGCGAACATTGGCGTTTAATAACAATATCTCATATTATTTTCGCGAAATTGGAGCTGGTATTTTGGAGTCTGCAATATGCTGGGCACTCGCCACGAAGTTAATGTTAACGTTGTGCGAAAAGTCTACTGTGCCATTGCAATTGCAGCGGTCTATTTCCATATTTTTTTAAGGAAGCGGCATTTCACCGGAGAGAGAGTGAGTGTGAGAGAGAGAGGGGGGATCAACTGTAAGCTGAAAGGAATCTCATCCACGTCAGCGGTTTGATTTTTTAGTTGAATAAATTAGTGGTCGCTTATTTTTAGGAATTTTCGATTTTCCTTAATATAATTTTGATATTCCTGAAGAAATCAACCTATGAGAAATGATGGATTTCTTAATACCTTTAATCCATATGCGTATTTATTGGGGCACCATCGAACTAGAGCATTACACTTTGATTTCAGATCTTGGAAGGAGATGAGAGGTCAAGCTTCAGCAAGATAAGGAGAAAGATTCAATTTTATTCAATGCAAGAGGGGTCTTAAAATGTAACGAAATTCGTTACAAATGACATTCAATGACCTTCCAAAGCAACAGAAGAAAGCTTTTCGTATTCTCCTAGGTGCTTTCCAGAGATCTTTAGTGTTTTCAAGGCGATAGAAAGTTTCAAAGCGGTTCTAGGCTAAGAGATTATGGAAATCAGAGCGTTTTGATATATTTCCAGAGCATTCTGCAAATTTTCAGAAAATCAACGTTTCAAAATGTTTGTAGAGGAGAGGTTGGTGAGCAAGGAAGCCACTAGCGGGTGTTTGGAAGGAAGAGAAGATAGGTGCGAAGTTAGGAAAGGGCATATGTGAGGGTAGTAAAATTTTTTAAAGGGAGCGGCATTTCGCCGGAGAGAGATAAAGGGAGCGTGAGAGGGCGATCAACTGTAAGCTGAAAGGAATCTCATCCACGTCAGGGGTTGATTTTTTTAGTTGAATAAATTAGTAGTCGCTTATTTTTAGGAATTTTCGTATTGATTTTGCTTAATATCTAATTTTGATATTCCTGAAGAAATCGACCTATGAGAAATGAAACTTGATCACCTTTGGATTTCTTAATATCTTCAATCCATATGGGTATTTATTGGGGTAGAGGGTAGAGGAGAGGTTGGTAGCAAAGGAAGACACTAGCGAATGGTTGGAAGGAAGAGAAGACAGGTGCGAAGCAGGGGTTACCAAAGAGCCCTAGAACAAGAATTTTGCTTACTTTCATGTAGGAATTGACCGTTAACAATTCCTCGAGATTCGTAAAGGCGCTCTCCAGGAAAAGACCTTTGGGAACGATCGACTCATTGCGCAACTGCGCGACCGTTTTCGCCGCAATCGAAGAGCCGAGTCCGTGGCCCCACACGTACGCGTCGTTACCGGTGTGCGTCCTCGTCCACCTGTACAGGTTTGCCGAATCGTGCACGAGCCCACCTTCGGATAATTCGGCATCGGTGGAATCGCCGTAGCCTTAAACCTCGCGATTAGAACTGACCGAATTAATAGCTCGCAGACCCCAAGAAAGGTACGTAACTCCGCGTATAGATGGCGCACCTCAAATTGGTACAGAAGTACTTGTCTTGGGGTCAAGCCACTTACTGCGGTAATCGAAGGCTATGACGTGAAAGAACCGCCGCAGGATCATGTACTTGTTCTTGCTCGTAATTCTGTTTTCGCCGCTGTCGTGCAAATACAACAGTACCGGATACTTTCCGTCGGCCAAGGCGTCGTCATAGTTGTAACTCGCGCTGGTAACGGCTTCGTAGGTGTACTCCAAGGGTAGAACGTGCCAAACCCCGAGCGTGACGTTATGGTCGACGGGCACGTAGAGGTTTCGCAACCCTTCCAAGCCGATTTCCTTGAAATTTGTAAACCCCCCACTTTCGTTACCGTACGCTGTTTGGTGATGATTAATTAGATTGCGAGACTATCTCCACTTACTTGCTAGAAAAATGACGTAGCGCTGCACGCCGATGGATAGCATGAACGTCACCGGGGGCACCACGAAAATCACAATAAAGGCTAAAACTAGGAGCAGCAGTCTAGAATTTCGTGTAGGTGAATCGGCAGTTGATTTGAGTATACTCACAAAGTGGTCACCGCAATTAAACAGCACCGGTACCTCTGACAACAACTGACCTTTTCGTCTCTGGTGTACAGCTCGTAATCGTAATCCATGTAGCAGTTTATCGACGGTATACTCTCGATTACCGACCTTCGTTTAATGGCCATTTCGGGCCGAAAACGTTGGAGAATAATATCTATCACAGTAAAAGGTGGGTTTGAGGTTTATGTCGGTTCGAAACTGAGTAAATAAGATTAATCGAGTGCTGATAAGATACGGAGAACATAAAAAAACGAAGTGGGGAGCCTGTGAGCCTGTGACACATTTAACGTACACAACTGATCAATTTTAATAGTCGATCCTCCATTACTCGCATGCCTGTAGAGTAGGATTGTGCTTGGGATTTGAAAAAGGTCAATGCTACTAAAATTACCTTCAAAATGGTTCAGTTTCTGATTTGGTTTCAAGTCAGAGCCAAACTGGCTTCAAAATAATTTCGTTTAAACGATATTGTATCAGAAGAATATGTTGTGCAAGGAGGTGTTTCTGTGACTGTCAGGAGAACATTATCTATGAGGAAGTCTTTTCTAAGCTCAGAAGAAATATTTCCAGACGTTTGTATAAACTGTTGTATCAGGAGCATATGTGGTTCGTGTATACCTTCTTTGAATCGTTAATTCTGTTGTCGTTCGAGGTCGCGCAGAACTTTTGTTTTCTTCCGACTCGCGCACTCCTTGTATAAGACGCATTCTCGTTTATTACTTGCAAGACGATACACGCCATTGCATACTTGACATTGTTGTCGACCATTTTTGGGATATACTGGCGCTGTGTTAAATTGGGTGAAGTTTTCTTTCGTTATTCTACTTCCAAGCTTCGCTGACGCTATTTGCGGAGGATTTATCTTACAAGTTTTAAGGTCGTTTTGCGACAATTACTCATTCACTTTTACTTTGAATAATCATTTTTAGGCTTTACTTCATTATCAGCATTATTCGAAACCAATATTTCGGAGTGGAAACGCTGAATTTGGGATTTTTTCAATATTGCGCTGGAAAAGATTAGAAAGACACGCGCACGTATTTCTACCTTACCGGCAGAACTACCCGCCATTTTAAGTGAAACCAAACAGCTGAGTTTTATCTGAACCCAATCATACGAAGTTCGTTGACCTACTTCATTCTACCAACATTGACCTACTTCGAGATTTACACCCGGAGATGTTGTGGAAACCCAATCGCAAGTAACTTTTACGAAACGTTTGGAGATTGTTACTGTGTAAATTGCCCCGATACATCCGATTTCACTTACGCTACTTGCTTCGTTACGAAAGATATACCGTCCGACAAGTGAATTTGTTGCCGATTTGTTACTACGCAAGATGGAAAATTACATGGCCTTGTAGGTAAATTTAACTAAAAACAAGATATGTGGAAATTATTGAATCGTCACTCATTTATCACACTTAGATTATAAACTGAAGAGCTTTGGTTAGCGTAATCTCGCCCCCGCAAGATAGGTAGCGTCGACCCTCGTTCGGGGTTTCGAGCCTACAGTTGAAATTCGAAGACAATCACGGAATTAGGTGTCGTAGCTCAATTTTGACTACAGTTTTTTACCACCCCCATGACTGCTTCATTCACGGAGAAAATAGTTAGTTACAAACAAGAAGTCAGTACATACATCAAACGAATCGGTAATTTCCACATATTAAAATAAAATGATCAAAACTTATATGAATGTTATTTCACGGACAAGACCAAGTAATCAACATCAATAAACATAAATTAAGCAAACATTACACCAAAAACGTAAACAATTACAAACAAAAGGATAACGGTATTAAACATGTCATTCTGCATTGCGGTTAAACCAAGTATATTTCAAAAACAAAGATTCAAACACACAAAGAAATATAAAAGGTGGCATACAAAACACAAATACGATATAAAGAAATGCAACAATTACTACCTGCATTAAATAACACAAAATAACAACAAACATTTATGGAGTGACGCGTTCACGACCGCCATTCAAGACAAGATGCCAAACGTAACCCCCATTCGTGCTTTTTAGATGGCGCAGGCAGCTTTTTCCCCACCTAGAAATTGCATGGTTGCCAACTCTCAAAAATGTATGTATCGTCGTAAGTTGTATGTACAGGGTGGAACTTGGTCCGAGACCAAAACCAACGATTTTTCAGTTATGGTTTGTTTTACTTTTAAGAATTTACCCATACTAGTTTGTTTACGTTGCTATTGAATTGAAATTTTTATGCTTTCACATAGGTACAGATGTAAAGACAATTATAGTAGTCGAACCAAATTTTACTTTTGCTAGGTTAAAGTCATTCGAATTATTCAGTCATTTTAAGTATTAGTTGCAGTTCTCAGTATACGATTAGCCTCAGTGTCAGACGTTACATTGCTATACGCGATATTTTGTGCATTACTCCCGATATTTACTAAAGAATAACTTGCGCCTATTCAGATTACTATTACTATTTTTCCCTTTTGTTTGTAGGTGAGAACCCCGACCCACCGTAACATAGTCCGTATAGATTTGATATGGAGTCATTCTTCACTGAGTTTGTCTTTGTTAAAAATTCCCCTAGGTTCAGGTGCGTATTTGTTGGTATATGAAGTTCTTTATCTACGGAAAGTAGACAAACGACACAAAAGGTACGGTCCGTCCCAGATCCCAAACCGTAGATATCAGTAGATAGGTTTGCATTTGGATATCGACCAAAGTTCATGAATATGCGTGCTGTCTTTCCTGCCAATGTTACTTTATGCGTCGAATTTTATTTCTATTTGGATTTGTTTTAAATTGACCAGCTAATAATTTTCATTCGATTGGTTAAACTCATTTAGGTTGATTAGCGACTTCAATTCTTTCTGTATGAATCTGACTTGAACTGTGTCGCTGTGTGCAGTAGTTATAAAAGCCCACGTAGCGGCATTAATCTCAAAAAAACTTTAGTGTAAGGTTACCGTACCCAGGACCTTCAGATACCTTCTGGACTGGAAGACAAGAGCATAGCGGGGCAGTAGTATTTTTGCGTCATACTGAGCCACTGGGTGAATCGCTGCAAGTGGTGAATCGGTTAAGGCGATCAACGCTTGTCCGGTACGTGCTGCGCGGGTAAATCAAATTTTGAACGTTCAGTTTAAATAAAAAGTTGCAAAAGGAACTAAATCGCAAATTACAGACAGCGGAACTCGTTAAAATTTCTAATTTTAAAATTGCAAATTGTCTTTTAAAAGAGGGGGTAGAAATTGTTACTGTTTAACCAACGATTAGGAAAGAAAAGGAGTGACCACTTTGTTAGGCGGTACGTGACTCTGTAACGGAATTTTGAATTTATAATTGTAAATGAAAGTAGAATTTGACTTTTTCTTGAATTTTGTTTAGTACTTATATGGAATTATTTTGAGGATTTTGAGTTTTCTTGAGAACTGCAAGCGAGTGATTAATAAGAATAATCGTCTATTTTTATTTTCAAGTAAATAGAACAGGTTCACTTTCCTTAAACGGTAATTTCAACTAAAATTACTGTTTGTGCATATTGATTAGAATTTAATGCACGCAATAGGTATTTCCATTGTTAGCGCTGTATTATTATTACTTTGTTTTATTAGGTAAGTACTAAAATCAATAATCAATTGCATAGAAAGGTCTTGCTCGAGTTTTACTTTACCTCGCGTCACTTGTAAACGTTCTTGAAGCAACTCCAATCCGTGTAATGAAAGGCGATATTCTATTTTGTGTTCTTTTCGCAATTTTTCAGCGTTCGATTCACAGTTCGCAAATCGGAATTAGTACGTCGTCAAATTTGGTCGAGGAATGTGGAGCGAAGGTTATCGAAACGATTTTTGGACAAGAACCGGTTTACTTCCTTTACTATAAAAACATGAACCATCTTTTACCGTTCCATGTAAGTAATCCCAAGATTCTTGTTAACACCAAAGACATGTGGTCTCGCTTATCCTCTCTCAACAATTTCGTAATTCAAGCTGCCAATTTGAGCATATTTGAGGAAAGCATGGAATTTTTGAAGTTGGTTCAATCTAATGTGGGCAATGGACGATTTCTAGTGATAACTAATCATAGAAATTTAGCGAAACCCGTCTTCAAGTGGTATTGGAAGAACAACATTGTTTACGTCGCAGTGTTGACTATCGACGCCAAAAACCGCACGAAGTCGCTTCTATTTACGGGAGATCCAAATGACGCGTTGAATGATTGCGGACGTAAATTAAACGTGATCAACAGTCAAAGTTGTACAGGTTCATTTACGAACACAATTCCTAAAGCTACCAGGAACTATAATGGCTGCCCTGCGACTGTCGGCATCCCCATTAAATCGCGGTACGAGTTTGATCCAAGACCGTACACCTTGAATGTTATCCAGACAGTATTAAACATTTCTTTCGTCCTTGTTGATGTGAGCACACCTTTCCTAAATATGCCTGAAATAATGAGCGATTTACCCCTGACGATTTATACATTTCAAAATGGTCGTATCAGTCATGTGTACGCAAGAGACAACGTTGTGTTCGTTGTCCCTCCAGCAGATAAAATATCGTATATTGAGGTTTTGATAGTTGCGTTCAAGAAAGAAGTTTGGGTATCGATTCTTCTGACGTTTGTGCTATTCGCCACAGCTTGGTACGTTATCTGTCGATTTAAAGCGAGATTTAGTACTATCATAGTGAACACTATCAGTATCACACTCTCTGGCAGTTCCAACTACATTCCCAACAGTTCAACTGCAAGATTCTTAATCATGTGTTACATCATATACAGTGTACACATACAAACCGCGTACGTTGCGGAACTAATGCGGTTGTTGATGTCGCTACCAACGGAAAAACACATTGAGAGCTTAGACGAGCTCTTGGGGACGAATCTTCAAATTCAGATAGATGTTGAGTCTACATTAATGTTTCATACGTTTCAGTTTAACAAATCAAAATTTCGCGGGTTAGAAAAACGAATTCTAGGTAACGGTGACCCGCACAACTTAACAGAAAGCTGGTATGCTAATAAACATTTTTCATTCTCTATACTTCTAAAGACCTTACAATCGATTGAATTGAAGTTGAAAGTGTCGCCTCCACCTTATTTTGTTGAGAATGAACATTTTACGACTATCACGAATGTATTTTTGAGTGAGAAATCGGCCTTTATTGATAGTATGGACGAGATTATTGATAGGCTGACTGAAAGTGGATTCTACGACAAGTTGGATCAAGATAGAAAGTTCGACGCAGAGGAGAAGAAGAGCCAATTCATTTCTGAGGAAGAAGTGGTGGCTTTTTCTTTTGAGCACCTCAGCGGGGTCTTTGTGGTATTCGGTTGTGGTTTGTTATTATCAACTTTAACGTTTTTTGGAGAGCTAATTGTGCATCGTTTTACGATGTGATCTTACTGTCCAATGCATTTTTAATTGTGCTTTGTTCACTTACCACTAAATTTGAGTGTGGAAAAATGTATTTGCGTGCAAATGCATAACTTGTTAATAAATGAACCTTACATGTTTCCATTTATTTAGTACCAATTAAACAGAAGGCACTGTTGCGTTACCGAGAATTTGTCTGACTGAAAAATAAATTAACACAAGCAAATATTACAGTATTGAGAGGTTCCACCCTGTAAATACAACTTACGACGATACATACATTTTTGAGAGTTGGCAACCATGCAATTGCTAGGTGGAAAAGCTGCCTGCGCCATCTAAAAAGCACGAACGGGGGTTACGTTTGGCATCTTGTCTTGAATGGCGGTCGTGAACGCGTCCCTCCATAAATATTTGTTGTTATTTTGTGTTATTTAATGCAGGTAGTAATTTCTTTATATCGTATTTGTGTATTGTATACCGCATTTTATATTTTGTGTATTTGAATCTTTGTTTTTGAAATTTTCTTGGTTTAACCGCAATGCAGAATCACATATGTGATACCGTTACGCTATTGTTTGTAATTATTTACGTTTTTGGTGTAAATCTTGCTTAATTTATGTTTATTGATGTTGATTACTTGGTCTTGTCCCTGAAGTAACATTCATATAAGTTTTGATCATTTTATTTTAATATGTGGAAATTACCGATTCGTTTGATGTATGTATGACTTGTTGTTTGTAACTAACATTTTCTCCGCGAATGAAGCAGTCACGGGGGTGGTAAAACTGTAGTCAAAATTGAGCTACGACACCTAATTCCGTGACTGTCTTCGACATTCAACTGTAGGCTCGAGACCCCGAAACCAGTGGCGGGTTATCTATCTTGCAGGAACGGGATTACGCTAATCAAAGCTCTTTGGTTTAGAATCTATGTGCGATAAATGAGTGGCGATTGTTGTACAACTTTGGTTGGACGTCCAAATGCTGCTTGGGTAAATGGTGAAAAATTGTAAGAGATACCTACTAAAATTACCAATTGTGAGTTAGCCGACGGAAAAATTTTTTTCGAAGAAAGATCACTATTTAAGATTTAATACGCTAGTGTTTCAACCCTACAATGTAACAGCCGTTACAACATTGAAAGTTTTCAAGGCACAGATTTTCAGTGGGACGTTTCATCTTGGAGAAACCATCATAAACTTCATATTTTTATATGAACCAAAAAAGTGTACATAAGTATATTGAGTATCATTTTTTATTATTTACAATGATGTATGGCACAATATAATTGCTTATTAGGAATTTCATTTACAGGAACCACCATCAACATTTAATAAATGGACTGTCAATGATAAACGCGCATACTGCAGGTAAGAGAGAAGGGAAAACTAAGAGGACGAACTGTCTCTTACGGTTACGCACCTGATTGGTTTTTCCAATTTAATTTCTTCTTTTGAAGGAACCTATCAGATGCGTAACGGTAAGAGGCAGCTTGCCCTCTTAGTTTTCCCTTCTCTCACCTGCAGTATCCGTGCTTCATTTATTATATGTCAATGGGAACCACCAATGAATTAATGTGACATTTTGTCAAAGCCTACTACACCAAAATGTTGAACTTTGATTGTCAGAAGAAAAGTTGCAAATTGTTCACATTTTGGTGTAGTAGACATTGACAAAATAATTCATTGATGGGAAGAGGGGGGTTTTCTTTTTCTAGTCCCCTGTAAACAGCAGCTCCCAAGCATGTGAAGTCTGTTGTCTCTATTCCCAAGTCAATCATCTTTGTGGTACCTAAAACCAATGTTTTAAAAACAGAGGACGAGACTAAAAAGCCCTCCTGGAAGCTGTGGACCCTAAGTGTAAGGATTACATTAGACAGGATGATCAAAATTGACCGTAATCAGAGAAGGGCAATCTTTCCACACCGAAGCTATCCATTTTGACTGTATATAGTTAGACCTCCCCCCCCCCTCGCAGCATCTGATGTACTTGTCAAGTTTCTCTTGAGGAGCCATCTAAAACAGTAGACTTTAGAAGGTGTTGTTTTACCGGCGGCTTACTATTCATCGAGTGTTGACCGAAGTCACATTTAAAATTTGAGTTTTAATACTCATACTTGATCCACGTTGTTGATGTACTTCCGCCATTGTCCAGCGATTTGAAGCACTGTTCAGTAATGGTAATTTCGTCCTTTAAGCATTGATTACTGGAAAGGACGAAATTACCATTACTTTCATTGCTTACTGTTTCCTTGAAGATCGGATGGATTTCTTCTTGTTCTATTGAGTGGTGCGACATCATTTCCGTCCGTATCTATCAAGAAATTTGCCACAATAGTTTTCGTTCAAAAGTAAAGCAGAAATGTCTATCTATCGGTCAAGGGCTATTTATAGCACAGCTCTTTAGTACACACGTCGATAAAGAACTGGCTGTAGCTCAAGTAACGGTAACGGGCTCATAAGCGTCACGTGGCGGTGTCTGAAGTAGAAGCTGCGATTGAAGAGGCACCTGGCGAACTATTTAAAACGAGACTTGAAGACAAAAAACCAGTGTATCCTATGCAAAAAAAATCCGCTGAATCCGAAAATTGTAGGTATTTCCCCTGACCGGAAACTCCCGGAATATATTGTTATAAACAAAAAAACGAAGAAAAAATGAGAAAATGGTCACTTCATTTCCAAAACAACGTAGGTTGCATAGTGATTGATTAATTAAATAAACAAGTTGAAAAAACAATGCTTTGTCTTTCAAAAAAGGTTGTACCGGGTGACCCGATAAAACTGTTCCTCGGCTATATCTCGAGAACCGTTCGTCATATGACTTAGAGAGGGGTAAAAGAAATTATTGGGTAAATCGGTCATGAAGAATCGCTGGAAAATAGTTGTAAAATTGACCAACAGAGGGCGTAACTGCCGTCTTAAATTTTAAAATTACATTTTCTTTAGATATCGCATAATAAACTGAATTTTTTTTCACATTTTTAAAGAGAACCAGTTGATCTATCATTTTCGTAAAAACAATTTCTCAGTTAATTCAAAAACAAAGATGATGTGGGGCGTTCAATTGTTTTTTGCAATAACCTTCTCTATTGTAACTTCTTAACGGTTTGACCGATTTTAGTAAATTTGGTATGTTTGGAAAGAGCATTCCTTGGCCAATGAGAATCAATCAAAATATAGTTAATTTAGTTGAATCCTTCTCGGCCAGGGGGCTAGTTTTGACACTATGACCCAAAATCCTAAAAAATCAAATGGAATGATATGACTTTTTCTTTCTTGGGCCTCCACGTGCCCTTATCCTCCGCGTGCAAAACTCACTCAATTTTAATAAATCAATTTTGAATTGCAACTTGCATTATTCGTATACCGCGCCATTGACCAAACAAAAGGGAATTTTTCGAACTGTGGGGTGCTATTCGAAAAACGACAGATAGAGGGTTTTAGGTGGGCCCTTCGGCCTCCACGGCGCCCTTGCTTTCCGCGTGCAAAACTCACTCAATTTCAATAAATCAATTTTGAATTGCAACTTGCATTATTTGTATACCGCGCCATTGATCAAACAAAAGGGAATTTTTCGAACTGTGGGGTACTTTTCGAAAAACGACAGTTAAAGGTTTTTAGGGGAGCCCTTGGGCCTCCACGGCGCCCTTACCCTCCGCGTGTAAAACTCACTCAATTTTAATAAATCAATTTTGAATTAATGAATTGCAACTTGCATTATTCGTATACCGCGCCATTGACCAAACAAAAGGGAATTTTCGAACTGTGGGGCACTGTTCGATAAACGACAGTAGAGGGTTTTAGGTGAGCCCTTGGCCCTCCACGGCGCTTTTATCCTCCGCGTGCAAAACTCACTCAATTTTAATCAATCAATTTTGTATTGCAACTTGCATTATTCGTATACCGCGCCATTGACCAAACAAAAGAGAATTTTTCGAACTGGGGCACTTTTCGAAAAACGACAGTTAGAGGGTTTTAGGTGGGTCCTTGACTCTCCATGGCGCCCTTATCCTCCGCGTCCAAAACTCACTCACTCACACACTTGCGCAATTTGTCCACTTCGGGGACGAATTTGTCGCGGTTTAGGGCTCTTTTCCAAAAAGGGGATGAAAATTGGCCCCGGTGCAATCACTTTCGAAGGCTGTTGATTTAAAAAAAAAGAATGTAACTTCAGCGCGATCCTAGTTATTTTTTGTTTCCCCGTTTAGGTTGGCACCATTCCAAAAGACCCATTGAACTACAGGGTGGGGCAGAAGGACTTGCTGATTTGTATTCGGCGTCCTTAGGCGACGATTGCTCCGACGAAAGTGGGAATAGGTATATTTGAGAGAAGGGGATATAAAGTTTTTCCGCCGCGTAGTGTAGTCACCATCAGGGGGTGGACGAAGGCGGGACGCCCGTTCGCCGTCGAGGTATACTTTTCTAACGGTCGCTCAGACATAGCCACGCAACGTGCATTCCGTACTCATTTTAATATCGCGCCACGTGGACGTGTTCCTGGCCGACAATCCATTGTTTCATGGGTCAACAATTTTAGGGAAACTGGTGATGTGAAGAAAAAAAATTAAAATGAGTACGGAATGCACGTTGCGTGGCTATGACTGAGCGACCGTTAGAAAAGTATGCCTCGACGGCGAACGGGCGTTCCGCCTTCGTCCACCCCCTGATGGTGACTACACTACGCGGCGGAAAAACTTTATATGCCCTTCTCTCAAATATACCTATTCCCACTTTCGTCGGAGCAACCGTCGCCCAAGGGCGCCGAATACAAATCAGCAAGTTCCTCTGCCCCACCCTATACTCTTGTAACGTATATAGTTCAATGCTTAGACCATATAGTACATGGACTGCTATTAGTCCTATGCTTTCAATACAAAATGGTTGGTCACAGATAGGGGGCACTGTGGTCGTGGGTATGTGAATCTTAGGGTAAACTAAAGTCGTATGAACACCACTCGGATCGCGTAAAGAGTAACTTTTATGGTAACCGCGTAGTACGGGAAGCTTTAAATATTTTCTTCTATACGTCCACAAATACGAATAGGTTTGCTTTTTTTGCCATATCTAGGAGATTTATTAATTGACGTTTGTTAATTTATAGGTTGACAGTGTCAAATCGTGTCTAATCGGACGGACTCGTTTACCCTGAAATTCACATACCCAGGCGATACCCTTGACCGTATTTTAGTTACAATTAGCAGTCCATGTACTGTATGGTCTAAGGAATGTCTTTAAAAAAAGCGAATGTAACTTCAGGCTGATGGAAATAGGCTCGAGTTTCCAGACCTGTATATACGACCGTGTATAAAACGGTGTTTGTATAAAATAGGTCCCTCGGACACAGCCATTTTTTATCGAAACTGACAAACTGTACCATAGCCACATCCAGCAGCTGCAAATTTCAAAATTGGGGAAAAGCAAAAATTAGAAAACAACTTTAATAAAAAAAACAACAATATCAATAATTGGTTTGTGTCTGAAATTCTTCACAAGTTTTCGTGTGGTTCCTAAAATACAAATCGTTAACATCTCGTGCCGAGAACGTACGTGACCACCTCACTTTATCATTGCAGGTAATTCGCTCCATTTGTATATGCAGTCGTGTCCGAATCCAAACTTGTGTGATAACTGATGAAAAACGACACCTCCCTGTGTCGCGGCATCGCGATTCTGTGCACTTTTCAACACCTAAAATAGACCATTACCGCATTACCCTCATAAAAACCCAGCACCGACTTTAACTCCCAACGAAAACGGCGTGTGACGATCGTCTTTCGCATGCAGCATCATTATCGGACAGTCGACTTTTAGTAGGTAATCGACTGTGCGTAAACTAAATCCGTTTTTCTCCAGCGGATCCAACATCGTCGACTCATACCACGGCATCCACGAGTATATAATCTTAAATGCGAGAATTAGCAGACGGATCATCTCGTCGCGATTACTTTGTACGGCGACGTCTCTCGTAGTTGATCCGTGATCGTGGTGAACGGCGCCTCTAACACCAAACCGGCTGGCACGATGTCCTCCTCGTGCAGTTTAGAGATCGTGTGCGTGGCCAGGGCGGCCCCAATTCCGTGCCCCCAAAAGTATACGTCGGCGACTGAGAGCGCCTGCACCCACTTGTAAATCCTGATCGAGTCGCTTACAATCTCGTCTTCCGACGGAAGCGCGTGGGAGGAATCGGCGTAGCCTGCAAGATTGTAGCGGTGCAACCGTCGCGGAGTCACGGTCATGCTCACCTCGGTAGTCGAACGCGATTACGTGGAAAAACTGTCTTAGTACCCGGTAAAGGGGGGCGTACTGTATGCGATTGCCGCCGTTCTCGTGGAAATGCAGCACGATCGGGTAGTCGAGGTCGGTGAGTGTCCGGTCGTAATCGAAGCTCCCGCTTTCCGACTCGTTGATCAACGGTTCGGGCAGCAAGTGCCACACGCCCACGACGAGATTTCGTTCGTCGTCGACGGGTAGGTAGAGCAGCCGGGACCCGGACAGGTTGTACTTTTTAAAATTGCCGTACTCCGAGTGCTTGGGCAGTAGGTCATCTGAAATTGTGTCCGGTGAACGCTCGGAGCTCGGTTATGGGGAGCCGTACCTGTCGGAAACACGAGGCTTCGCTGTAAGTCGATGGTGTGCTTGAACAGGAACGGGTACCCGACGAATACGAGAAGAAAGGCGACCACTAAGAGAACTAATCTGAAACGTCGACGGTAAGTCGAGATCGGTCACGACCGTGGGTCACTTACATGAATATAAGCGTAATTAGGCAACAGGTGAGGCAGCAGTTTTTTCGCCTAGGCCTTTGGCTTTCGTAGTACAAAAGCGAGTCCTGCACGCCGCTATTTTTGTTTGGCACTTTCCCAGGCATTTCAGACAAAAGTGCCTCGCCGCGAGTATACTGACCTTGCCTTCTCAACTTTTTTTTAAAAATAAACTTATTTCCTATACTGACTAAATACGTAAAGGTCACAGCAGAAATTATGTCAGCAATTACATCACTCGCGTAATTGTAATCTTCGATTTGTGATTCACGGATTTTTAAATTTAAAATGTGGGACACGACGCGCGGACGTCGCCCGGCCAGTTATAGAACTGAATTTATTAGAAAAATATACGATCCACGAAAATAAATTATTGCGGCGCGTGTTTGTTTAATCTTATCGTTTCTTTTTTTTTTAACATGTCGCGTTGAAGGTAAGTGGAACGGTTCTCTGACCCCGCCGGATCGGAAGATCTGTCTCGTTTTAACAGTTTGATATTATGTAATTGTTGCTCGCTCTTTTCATTGCAGGTGTATGGGAAGGATATAACAAAGGCATGTGGTCCGTGTGCCCTTCGAACCGTATACCTCTGTATTTGGCCTTTGGCCCGCTTTTTTCATGCATAATCATTGTATAATTAAAAGCGAAAGCGCGAAGCAGGGTA